CCACCACCACACCCGGCTCATTTTTTCTATTTTTTAGTAGAGATGGGGTTTCACTGTGTTAGCCAGGATGGTCTCGATCTCCTGACCTCGTGATCTGCCCACCTCAGCCTCCCAAAGTGCTGGGATTACAGGTGTGAGTCACCGTGCCCGGCCTTGTGTTAACTTTTTTTTAAAGACAAGGTCTTATCTTACTCTGTTGTTCAGGCAAGAGTATACAGTGACAATCACGGCTCACTGCAGTTTTGAACTCCTGGGCTCAAGCAATCCTCCTGTGTCAACCTCCCCTGGGACTATAGGAACATACCACCACGGCCTAGCTAATTTTTAAAACTTTTTGTAGACACAGAATGTCATTTTGTTGCCTAGGCTGGTCTTGAACTCTTGGCCTCATGTGATTTTCCCACACTGGCCTCCCAAAGTGTTGGGATCACAGGCATAAGTCACAGTGCCCAGTCAAAAAATTTTTTTGAGGCCAGGCGGGATGGTTCATGCCTGTAATCCCAGCATGTTGGGAGGCTGAGGCTGGTGGATCACTTGAGGTAAGGAGTTCGAGACCATCTCGGCCAACATGGTGAAACCCCGTATCTACTAAAAATACAAAAATTATCCGGGTATGGTGGCGAGTGCCTGTAGTCCCAGTTACTCAGGAGGCAGAGGCAGGAGAATGGCTTGGACCTAGGAGGCAGAGGTTGCCATAACCCAATATCATACCACTGCACTCCAGCCTGGGCAACAGGGCGAGACTCTGTCTAAAAAAAAAAAAATTAATTAATAATAATAATAATAATAATTTTTGGTTAGTGTTTTAGTCTTGCAGTTTTTTTTTTTTTTTAATTAATTTTTTTTGAGACGGAGTCTCACTGTGTTGCCCAGGCTGGAATGGAATGGCGCAGTCTCGGCTCACTGCTATCTCCCCCTTCTGGCTTCAAACGATTCTCCTGCCTCAGCCTCTGGAGTAGCTGTGATTACAGGCACCTGCCACCATGCCTGGCTAATTTTTGTGTTTTTAGTAGAGATGGGGTTTCACCATGTTGGCCAGGCTGGTCTCAAACCGCTGACCTTGTGATCCATCCGCCTCGGCCTCCCAAAGTGCTGGGATTACAGGCGTGAGCTACTGTGCCCTGCCACCCACGGCTTTTAAAGGGAAACATGAGTTGCCTTATAAAAAAACATGTTTTTGTTTTATGGTGCTCTGACTCTCAATGGAGGACTTGCATAGACCAAATTAGAAATCCTTTTGCAGCTGGGTGTGGTAGCTCATGCCTGTAATCCCAGCACTTTGGGAGGCCAGGTGAGGGGATCATGGGGTCAGGAATTCAAGACCAGCCTGGCCAATATGGTGAAACTCCATCTCTACTAAAAATACAAAAATTAGCCGGGCGTGGTAGTGGGCGCCTGTACTCCCAACTACTTGGGAGGCTGAGGCAGGAGAATCACTTGAACCCAGGAGGCGGAGGTTGCAGTGAGCTGCAGTCACGCCACTGCACTGCAGCTTGGGTGACAGAGCTAGAGTCCACCTCAAAAGAAAAAAGAAATCCTTTTGCAGTATGTGGCTCATGCCCATAATTCCAGCACTTTGGGAGGCCAAGGCACGCAGATCACCTGAGGTCAGGAGTTCGAGACCAGCCTGGCCAACATAGGGAAATGCCGCCTCTACTAAAAATACAAAAACTAGCTGGGCGTGGTGGCACACGCCTGTAATCCCAGCTACTCAGGAGGCTGAGGCAGGAAAACCGCTTGAACCCAGAAAGCAGAGGTTATAATTGGGTGACAGAGTGAGACTCCATCTCAAAAAAAAAAAAAAGAAAGAAATCCTTTAGCAATACAACTGCTACTTGACCATTTTACTTTTGTTTTCCAAGACATTTTACCCGAAGAAATATACCAAATTCATTTTTTTTTTTAAGACAGAGTTGGGGTTTCACCATGTTGGTCAGGCTGGTCTTGAACTCCTGACCCCAGGTGATCCACCCGCCTCGGCCTCCCAAAGTGCTCGGATTACAGGTGTGAGCCACTGTGCCCGGCCAGGTCTTGCTTTTTTTCTTTTTCTTTGTTTTTATTATTTATTATTATTTTTTGAGACAGAGTTTCACTCTTGTTGCCCAGGCTGCAGTGCAATGGCGCAATCTCTGCTCACTGCAACCTCCACTTCCTGCATTCAAGCAATTCTTCCTCAGCCTCCCGAGTAGCTGGGACTACAGGTGCCCACCACCATGCCCGGGTAATTTTTGCACTTTTAGTAGAGATGGGGTTTCACCATGTTGGTCAGGGTGGTCTCAAACTCCTGACCTCAGGTGATCCATCCGCCTCACCCTCCGAAAGTGCTGAGATTAGAGGCATGAGCCACCACCCCGGCCTCTTTTTTTTTTTGAGATGGAGTTTTGCTCTTGTCACCCAGTCTGGAGTTCAATGGCACACGATCTCGGCTCACTGTAATCTCTGCCTCCCAGGTTCAAGTGATTCTCCCACCTCAGCCTCCCAAGTAGCTGGGATTATAGGCACCCACCACCATGCCCAGTTAATTTTTGTATTTTTAGTAGAGACAGGGTTTCATCATGTTAGCCAGGCTGGTCTTGAACTCCTGACCTCAGGTGATCCTCTGGCCTTGGCCTCCCCAAGTGTTGGGATTATAGGCGTGAGCCACCACACCTGACCACAAATTCATTTTTTTAAAGTTCTAGGTTATATCAGAAATATAATAAAGAGGAGACTTTTATGTGGGGTTTCCCACGTGAAATATGTATAATTATATACATATATACAATTTCTAAAAGGATAAATAAAATTCATATTTGAAAATATAATTTAAAATCACATAAAGGAGATAAATCATCATTAACAATCTGAAGTCTAACAAACTCTCAAGAAATGGCTGTTTGTAAAATGGCTCATTAAAAAAAAGATTAAAATTACCTTAGCAGCTTGAGATTCTCTTAAGTAATATTTTAAAAGATCAGAAAGTTTGAGGTCTTCATCAGCAGACACTCGTGCTTCTATTTTCTGGAAAGGAAAAAATTGAATATTTAATCAACAACTACATTCTGCTCTCAGTGGTTTCCTTCTTAATTACAACTATTATTATAGTTTAAAAAAACTGAAGTTTTAACTATAGTATCCATTTCTATTTATCTAGCTTTCCTTCCCTTTTTGTTTCTACTAGCCTGCTACTTTTCTTTGCAACTCTCACATAAAATGAACAGAAAAAAGATCAGATCAAATGAGACTCGTGAGTTTATGGAAGGACAACTTTTTTTTTTTTTTTTTTTTTTTTTTTGAGACGAAGTCTAACTCTGTCACCCAGGCTGGAATGCAGTGGTGCAATCTCGGCTCACTGAAACCTCTGCTTCCCAGGTTCAAGCAATTCTCCTGCCTCAGCCTCCCGAGTAGCTGGAAATACAGGCATGTACCACCATGCCCAGCTAATTTTTCTATTTTTAGTAGAGACAGGGTTTCACCATGTTGGCCAGACTGGTCTCAAACTCCTGACCTCAAGTGATCCTCCTGCCTCAGCCTTCCAAAGTGCTGGGATTACAGGTGTGAACCACCATGCTCAGTCAGACTCTAAAATGAGTTTCAATATCATCTTTTACCTTCATTAATATTTTCTCAGGCCAGGCACGGTGGCTCATGCCTGTAATCCTGGCACTTTTGGGAGGCCAAGGTGGGCGGATCACGAGGTCAGGAGTTCGAGACCAGCCTGACCAACATGGAGAAACCCCGTCTCTACTAAAAATACAAAAATTAGCTGGGCATGGTGGTGTGTGCCTGTAATCCCAGCTACTCAGAAGGCTGAGGTTGCAGTGAGCCAAGATTGAGCCACTGTACTCCAGCCTGGGCGACGAAGCAAGACTCTGTCTCAAAAGAAAAAAAAAACTTTCTAGGTATTTCTTTCTTTTTCAGACGGAGTCTCGCTCTTGCCAGGCTGGAGTATAGTGGCATGATCTCAGCTCCCTACAACCTCCGCCTCCTGGGTTCAAGAGATTCTCCTGCCTCAGCCTCCCTAGTAGCTGGGATTATAGGTGTATGTCACCACACTCGGCTAATTTTTTTGTATTTTTTTTAGTAGAGATGGGGTTTTGTCTTGTTGGCCAGGCTGGTCTCGAACTCCTGACCTCAGGTGATCTGCCCACCTCAGCCTCCCAAAGTACTGGGATTACAGGTGTGAGCCACTGTGCCCAGCTGCTATTCATTTCAATTGTAATTGATATGCACACACAATTTTAAAGGAACGAAGGCTTGCAATGGTAGACTAGTTAATTCAATCTAATCCTCCTGCTGAGGACAACCAGAAATACAGTCAAAGCATTAGTAAAATGTGCCTGAAGACACTGTAGAGTAATAAACAGAAGTGGTATGTACAAGGTGAGATTGAAGGGGAAGTAGTAAGGTCAGACTAAAAAGATAGCTCTTCAGTATGACTGGACAGAGGATTAAAAAAAATACATCAACCAAATGTAATATATGGGACCCTGTTTGTATCCTGATCAAACAAACTATACTATAATAAAAAGCCATTTATGAGACAATTGGGAAAATGTATATACTGGATATTTGATGACATTAAGGGGGAATCATTAGTAACAGTATTGACTATATTAAAAATAATTCTTATACTAAAAAAAGAGACAAGTGTGCATGAAGGACTCAAAACAGAATGAAGATGGACTTTTTGGAATATAAGAACTTTAAGCAATGTAGAAAACGTTAACATTCGCCAGGTGCAGTGGCTCACATCTGTAATCCCAGCACTATGGGAGGAAAAGGCAGGTGGATCATTTGAGGTCAGGAGTTCGAGACCAGTCTGGCCAACATGGTGAAACCCCCCATCTCTACAAAAACACAAAAATTAGCTAGGAATGGCAGCACACGCCTATAATCCCAGGTACTTGGGAGGCTGAGGCATGAGAATCACTTGAGCCCAGGAGGCGAAAGTTGCAGTGAGCCAAGATCGTGCCACTGCACTCCAGCTTGGGCGACAGAGCAAGACTCTGTCTCAAAACAAACAAACAAACAAACAAACAAACAAACAAACAAACAAAAGGGAAAATGTTAATATTCAGAAACCTGGCTGATGCATTACAGGAATTCTTGTACTATTTTCTGCAACTTTTCCATAAGTCTGAAATTATCGTCAAAGTAAAAAGGTAAAGTAAGGCTGGCACCTTAATAAGGCTCATGCCTAGCATTTTGGAAGGTTGAGGCGGGTGGAACATTTGAGGTCAGGAGTTCGAGGCCAGCCTGGCCAACATGGTGATACCCATCTCTACTAAAAGTACAAAAATTAGTCGGGTGTAGTGATGTGTGCCTGTAATCTCAGTTTGGGAGGCTGAGGCAGGAGAATCACTTGAACCCAGGAGGCAGAGGTTGCAGTGAGTCGAGATTACGCCACTGCATTTCAGCCTAGATGACAGAGTGAGACTCTGTCTCAAAAAAGAAAAAGAAAAAAAAAAAAGTTAAGGGGCCAGGTGCGGTGGCTCACGCCTGTAATCCCAGCACTTTGGGAGGCCAAGGTGGGCGGATCACGAGGTCAAGAGATCAAGACCGCCCTGGCCAACAGGGTGAAACCCCATCTCTATTAAAAATACAAAAATTAGCTGGGCGCGGAGGCGTGCACCTGTAGTCCTAGCTACTCGGGAGGCTGAGGCAGGCGAATTGCTTGAACCTGGGAGGCGGAGGTTGCAGTGAGCCGAGATTGCACCACTGCACTCTAGCCTGGCGACAGAGTGAGACTTCATCTCAAAAAAAAAAAAAAAAAAAAGTTAAACTAAAACAACTACACACCTACCAGAATGGCAAGAATTATAAAGGTAGAAAACACTCAGTTTTAACAAGCTTGTAGAATAACCTAAATGCTCATACTTATTCTTGTGGGCATGCAAATTGGTAAAATCATTATGGGAAAGTTTTGCAGTTTCTGCAAAAGCTTTTCACGTGGTTATCCTATGATCCATCAATTCCCCTCCTAGTTATATATATCCAACAGAATTGTATACTTGTGTTCAGAAGATATACAAGAATAATCTTAGCAGTATTGTTATAAAGAAACCCAAACTAGAAACTATCCAAATGCCTATCAACAGTAGAACAGATAAACAAATTAATAAAATACTATACAGCAAGAAGAATAAAGGAACCAGGCTAGGTAGCTCATGCCTATAATCCCAATGCTTTGAAGGGTGAGGCAGGAATATCAACAGAGGCCAAGAGTTCAAGACCAGCCTGGGCAATATAGTGAGATTCCCTCTCTACAAAAATTAGCCAGGCATGGTAACACACATCTGTAGTCCTAACTACTTGGGAGGCTGAGGCAGGAGGATGCTTGACCTCAAGAGTTTGAGGCTGCAGTGAGTTATGATCATGCAAGTGCACTCCCACCTGGGCAACAAAGTGAGACCCCGTCTCTAAAACAAAAAGAATAAAGGAACTACATCTATGTGCAACAACATGGTTTAATCCTATGAATGAATATAATGTTCAGTACATTAAACAGACATGAAAGAATATAAGCCAGGCACAGTGGCTCATACCTGTAATTCCAGCACTCTGGGAGGCTGAGGCAGGATGACTGCCTGAGGCCAGGAGTTTGAGACCAGCCTGGGCAACATAGCAAGACCCTGTCTCTACCAAAGGAAAAAAAAAAGAAAAAAAGAAAAAGAATACATGTTGCACAAGCATTTATATTATGTATAAAACTAAAAAACGGGCCAGGTCGGGCGCAGTGGCTCATGCCTGTAATTCTAGCACTTTCGGAGGCCAGGGTAGGCAGATGGCTTGACATCAGGACTTTGAGACCAGCCTGGCCAACATGGTAAAACCCCTCTCTACTAAAAATACAAAAATTAGCCTGGTGTGGTGGTGCATGCCTGTAATCTCAGCTACTAGGGAGGCAGGAGAATCACTTGAACCTGGGAGGCAGAGGTTGCAATGAGCCAAGATTGTGCCACTGCACTCCAGCCTCCAGCCTGGTTTTGATCTCAAAACAAACAAACAAAAAACAAAACAAAAAACCCGAATCCGTACTGGCAGTGCCTTGAAAGGCAGCTGAGGAGATGAGGAGGCGGCCAGGCATCTGGGTTGCTGGTAATTTTCTATTTATTTTCTTTCTTTCTTTGATACAGGGTCTGTCACCCAGGCTGGAGTACACTGACACAATCACAGCTCACTATAACCTTGACCTCCTGGGCTCAAGAATCTTCCTGCCTCAGCCTCCCAAGTAGTTAGGACTACAGTTGTGCGCCACCATGACTGGCTAATTTTTGGTAACTTTTGTAGAGAGGGAGTCTCGCTACATTGCCCAAGCTAGTTGAACTCCTGGCCTATACTGATCCTCCCGCCTCATCCTTCAGTGTATGGGATGATGGGCATGAGCCACGTGGCCTGGTTCCTTTATTCTTATTGGTATGTAGTATTTAATTAATTTGTTTGTCTGTTCCAGGAGGTATTCTTTTTTTTTTAGAGATAGGGTCTCACCCTGTCGCCCAGGATGGAATGCAGTTGCACGATCATATACCTCACTGCAGCCTCAAACTCCTGAGCTTAGGCATCCTCCTGCCTCAGCCTCCCAAGTAGGACTACAGGTTTGCACCACCACACCTGGCTAATTTGTAAACATTTTGTAGAGATGGCATCTTGCTATGTTTTCCCAGGCTGATCTCAAATTCCTGGGCTCCAGAGATCCTCCTGCCTCAGCCTCCCAAAGTGCTGGGATTACAAGCATTAAATCACTGCACCCAGAAGAATATGAACTTTTATACAAATACCTAAAGGCCATAACAAAAAATGGAATTTCCTGAAAAACTCCCAATGGAATCCAAATCTGAATCTGTTTCATCATCCTTCTGAAGTATACTCATCTTCCTCGATAGAGTTAAACAGAACCACAGCAAGTTAAATATTACCATATGCAGATATTTAAATAGCCAAAAGGTTAATAGTGATTACTTTTTTTTTTTTTTTTTTGAGACGGAGTCTTGCTCTGTCGCCAGGCTAGAGTGCAGTGGTGCGATCTTGGCTCACTGCAATGTCGGCCTCCCAGGTTCAAGCGATTCTCATGCCTCAGCCTCCCGAGTACCTGGGACTACAGGCATGCGTCACCACGCCCAGCTAATTTTTGTATTTTTAGTAGAGACAGGGTTTCACCGTGTTGGCCAGGATGGTCTTGATCTCTTGACCTCGTGATCTGCCCACCTCAGCCTCCCAAAGTGTTGGGATTATAGGCATGAGCCACTGTGCCCGGCCAATAATGATTACTCTTTTAAAAAAAATTTTATGAATTGTGGTAAAAAACTTTAACATGAGCTCTCTGGGCACAATATTATGCAGTATATCTCTATAATTTAGTACTTACTCTTGTTTTATCGAACAGTTCTGAAACTTTGAGAAAAAACCTGTAAAGGAAAATATTTTCATCATATGCCACATTCAAAGTAATTTTCCATTTCAAATGTATGAGAATATGCTCCCAAACCATATTAATAACACCTTGTCTCATTGCAGTTATATTTAATAGCCCTATTAACTGCAGACTTCATTTAGCTTCACAAAAATCTCCCTGTATTTCTACCAATAAAAGAGATTACTTGAAATCTGTTTACAGATAAGACTATCTGTTCACTTATTTATTTTTTTGAGATGGAGTTTCACGCTTGTTGCCCAGACTGGAGTGCAATGGCTCAATCTCAGCTCACCGCAACCTCTGCCTCCTGGCTTCAAGCGATTCTCTGGCCTCAGCCTCCTGAGTAGCTGGAACTACAGGCGCCTGCCACCACGCCCAGCTAATTTTTGTCTTTTTGGTAGAGACAGGGTTTCACCATGTTGGCCAGGATGGTCTTGATCTCTTGATCTCATAATCCGCCCACCTCAGCCTCCCAAAGTTCTGGGATTACAGGTGTGAGCCACCGCGCCCAGGCCTGATTTTTTCTTTCTTTTTTTTTTTTTTTTGAGACAGAGTCTGGCTCTGTTGCACAGGCCAGAGCGCAGTGGCACAATCTCAGCTCACTGCAACCTCTGCCTCCTGGGTTCAAGTGATTCTCCTGCCTCAGCCTCCTGAGTAGCTGAGATTACAGGCAATTGCCCCCATGCCTGGCTAATTTTTGTATTTTTAGTAGAGACGAGTTTTCACCTGGTTAAAAATTAGCCAGGTGTGGTGGTGCACACCTGTAATCCCAGCTATTCAGGAGGCAAAGGCAGAAGGATGGCTTGAGTCCAGGCTCGTCTTGGACTCCTATCTCAAGTGATCTGCCCGCCTTGGCCTCCCAAACTGCTAAGATTACAGGTGTGAGCCCGAGCGCCAGGCTCCATTTCAAGATGACAGCCTAAGCCATACATTAAAGGTGCTTTTGTTGTTGTTGTTCTTGAGACTGAGTCTCGCTTTCTCGCCCCAGCTGTAGTGCAGTAGTGCCATCTCGGTTCACTGCAACCTGCACCTCCTGGGTTCAAACGATTCTCCTACCTCAGCCTCCTAAGTAGCTGGGATTACAGGCACCCACCACACCTGGTTAATTTTTGTAGTTTTAGTAGAGATGGGGTTTTGCCATGTTGGCCAGGCTGGTCTCAAACTCCTGGCCTCAAGTGATCTGTCCACCTTGGCCTCCCAAAGTGCTGGGATTACAGGCGTGAGTCACTGTGCCCAGCCAACAAAATTTATCTAGATTCATTTTAGCAAACAGGCTGAGGCAAGCAGCTCACTTGAGGCCAGGAGTTTGAGACTAGTCTGGGCAACACAGTGAAACCCTGTCTTTACTAAAAATACAAAAAATTAGTGGGGCATGGTGTCACAATCCTGTAATTGAACTACTCTTTAATACTCTGGTGCTTGGTCAGGTGCAGTGGCTCATGCCTGTAATCTCAGCACTTTGGGAGGCCGAGGTGGGCAGATCACGAGGTCAGGAGATCGAGACCATCCTGGCTAACATGGTGAAATCCTGTCTCTATTAAAAATACAAAACAAAATTAGCCAGGTGGCGTGGTGGCACATGCCTGTAGTCCCAGCTACTCAGGAGGCTGAGGCAGGAGAATGGTGTGAACCTGGGAGGCGGAGCTTGCAGTAAGCCGAGACTGCGTCACTGCACTCCAGCCTGGGCAATAGAGTGAGACTCCATCTCAACAACAACAAAAAAAGTCTGGTGCTGGGATATTTTTTAGTTGGTTCAGCATTTGACAGATAAACTAGGTAAAAGTGAAAATAAATTCTTAAGTAGAAATTGGTTATTCATTTTTTTCTTTTCTTTTCTTTTTTTTTTTGTGATGGGCTATTGTTCTGTCACCCAGTTCCAGCACAAACTTGTGGTCCCAGCTACTCAGGAGGCTGAAGCAAAAGGATCGCTTGAGCACAGGAGTTCAAAGCTGCAGTGCTCTATGACTGCACCTGCGAATAGCTACTGTATGCCAGCCTGGGCCACACAGGAAGACCTGCTCTCAAAAAAAAAAAGGGCACAGCACAGTTTCAAGTATTCTGTAAAATATATAATTAAAATGACATTATAAATGAATTAAGGCAAATACTACTCAAAGCAAAAACAATTTTATGAACTTTGCTTTCACTCAAGAGAATTTGCTTTGACAGATTTACGTTAGAGAACAGATGGCAAGGTTTACTTTTTTCCTTCTTCCTGATAAGAAGAATTAACTCTTTGGGAAGGTGGCTTTTTTCCTTTTTTTTTTAAGACAGAGTTCCTCTAGTTACCCAGGCTGGAGTACAATGGCGCAATCTCTGCTCACTGCAACCTCTGCCTCCCAGGTTCAAGCGATTTTCCTGCCTCAGCCTCCGGAGTAGCTGGGATTACAGGCATGCGCCACCATGCCTGGCTAATTTTGTGTTTTTAGTAGAGATGGAGTTTCTCCATGTTGGTCAGGCTGGTCTTGAACTCCCGATCTGAAGTGATGTGCCTGCCTTGGCCTCCCAAAGTGCTGGGATTACAGGTGTGAGCCACTGTGCCTGGCCGATGGCATGTTAATTAGTGTAAGCTATCATACCATGCTTTGCCAAAAAGCTTGACTTTTAAATATCTGAGACAGAATATACTAGAGAAAAGGTCAAGGATGTGGTTTAGAGGAAGGCATAGACTATGAAAATAGTTTTCCTGCTTAAAAATGTGTTTAATTTTTAGTTTTTTTGAGACCAAGTCTTGCTTTGTCGCCCAGGCTGGGGAGCAGCAGTGTGATCTCAGTTCACTGCAATCTCTGCCTCCCAGGTTCAAGTGATTCTCACGCCTTGGCCTCCCAAGTAGCAGGGATTACAGGTGTGTGCCACCACGTCTGACTAATTTTTGTGTTTTTAGAGATTGTGCCACTGCTCTCCAGCCTGGGTGACAGAGCAAGACACTGTCTTGCAGGGGAGGGGCGGGGGGCGGAATCAATTTGACCTCCAGTGAAATACATACACACATATACATACATACATATATGTTCTAATTTCCAAATAGCAGTTCTTATTTATAAGCTTTATCAAAACCTAAAAACACTAATATAAATTCTGTTCTTCCACTCTCTTACACACAAATCAGCCCATTTTCATAAATAAAACACAGTTAGGGGAGGAAGAAAAAAATACATATATAGAGAGAGAGTAAAGTCGATTTTTATTTCTTAGATTTAAAAAAATAGGATAGAAAGGGAGGAGAAAAAATATCAACCCAAGTTTTGTTTGTTTGTTTTGAGACGGAGTTTTGCTCTTGTTGCCCAGGCTGGAGTGTAATGGTGCGATCTCAGCTCACCACCACCTCTGCTTCCTGGGTTTACGCAATTCACCTGCCTCGGCCTCCCAAGTAGCTAGGATTACAGACACCCACCACCACACTTGGCTAATTTTGTATTTTTAGTAGAGACAGGGTTTCTCCATGTTGGTCAGGCTGGTCTCAAACTCCTGACATGAGGTGTTCTGCCCGCCTCGGCCTCCCAAAGTGCTGAGATTACTGGCATGAGCTACCTGCCCAGCCCTCAACCCAAGTTTTTAAAGGAGGTCCTTATTATCAATGTGTTTTGACAAAAATATTCCAAAAGTTTTGCATTGTAAGTATTGTTGGCTGGGAGAAGTGGCTCACACCTGTAATCCCAGCACTTTGGGAGCTGAGTTGGGTGGGCCACTTGAGGTCAAGGGCTTGAGACCAGCCAGGCCAATACGGTGAAACCCCGTCTCTACTAAAAATAGAAAAATTAGCCAGGCATGGTGGCAGGCACCTGTAATCCCAGCTACTTTGGAGGCTGAGGTGGGAGAACTGCTTGAACGTGGAAAGAGGATGTTGCAGAAAGCCATGATCATGCCACCTCACTCCAGCCTGGGCGAGAGAGTAAGACCCTATTTCAAAACAAAAACTAAAACAAAAACCAAAAGTATTGTGTGCATCCAGACTGCCAATAGAAAATTTTCTCTGCTTTATATTTCACATATATATATATACCTATACACACACACACACACACACTTTTTTTTTTTTTTTTAAACAGTCTTGCTCCGTCACCCAGGCTGGAGTGCAGTGGCATAATCTTGGCTCACTGCAACCTCCACCTCCCGGGTTCAAGTGATTCTTGTGCCTCAGTCTCCTGAGTAGCTAGCTGGGATTACAGGCACACACCACCCACACCTGGGTAATTTTTATATTTTTTGGTAGAGATAGGGTTTAGCAATGTTGGCCAGGCTGGTCTCAAACTCCTGACAGGTTTTCCACCTCCCAAAGTGCTGGGATTACAGGCATGAGCCACTGTGACCAGCTATATTTCAAGTTTTATTTATTTATTTTTTTCTGAGATGGAGTCTTGTTCTATTGCCCAGGCTAGAGTGCAAAGGTGTGATCTCAGCTCACTGCAACCTCCGCCTCCCAGGTTCAAGCAATTCTCCTGCCTCAGCCTCCTGAATAGCTGGGATTACAGGTGTGCATTTTTGTATTTTTAGTAGAGAAGGGGTTTCACCATGTTCGTCAGGCTGGTCTTGAACTCCTGACCTCTTGATCCACCCACATTTGCCTCCCAAAGTGCTGGATTACAGGCGTGAGCCACCGTGCCTGGCCTATTTCATGTTTTAAATTAGAATACTTACTTGCATATATCTGTAGAATCCTGAGTTCCTAAAGCATATAATGAAGAACCAATTCTATTGTAATCATCTGCAGCACCTATGGAGAAAGTTTTAAGAATTTAGTATATCTATTCCTTGATTTAAAAATACTTACTGAGTACTCACCTGTCAAACAATGTGTAATATGAGACACACTAGTAAAGAAAATAACACAAACAACAGGCATGGTGGCTTATGCCAATAATCCCAACACTTTGGGAGGCTGGGGCAGGCAGATCACCTGAGGTCAGGAGTTTTGAGATCAGCCTGGCCAACATGGTGAAACCTCATCTCTACCAAAAATTTAAAAATCAGCCAGGTGTCATGGTGCATGCTTGTAATCCCAGCTACTCAGAAGTCTGAGGCAGGAGAATCACCTGAACCCAGGACGCAGAGGTTGCAGTGAGCCAAGATCACGCCACTGCACTCCAGCCTGGGCAACGGAGCAAGACTCTATCTCAAACAAAAAAACAAACTAGAGGCTGGGTGCAGTGGCTCACGCCTGTAATCCCAGCACTTTGCGAGGCAAAGGCAGGTGGATCACAAGGTCAGGGGATCGAGACCATCCTGGCTAACATGGTGAAACCCCGTCTCTACTAAAAATACAAAATATTTGCTGGGCGTGGTGGCGGGCGCCTGTAGTCCCAGCTACTTGAGAGGCTGAGGCAGGAGAATGGCGTGAACCCGAGAGGCAGAGCTTGCAGTGAGCCGAGATCACGCCACTGCACTCTAGCCTGGGCAACAGAGCGAGACTCCGTCTCAAAAAACAAACAAACAAAAAACAAACAATCAAAAAAAACAAAGTAGAAAGCAAGAAATATAACTTTCTTCATTAATAGACGTGACATGATCATCTACATAGAAAATACTAAGGAATCTACAAAATAGTTACTAGAACTAATAAGTGAGTTTATTTAGCAAGATTGCAGAATATAAGATCAATACTGAAAAAATACACTGTGTTTCTATGTATTAGCAAAGAACAATTTGAAATTGAAATTTTAAAAAACATAACATGGCCTGGCGCAGTGGCTCACGCCTGTAATCCCAGCACTTTGGGAGGCCGAGGCAGGCGGATCATGAGGTCAGGAGATTGAGACCATCCTGGCTAACAAAGTGAAACCCCGTCTCTACTTGAAATACAAAAAAATTAGCCAGGTGTGGTAGCGGGCGCCTGTAGTGCCAGCTACTCAGGAGGCTGAGGCAGGAGAATGGAGTGAACCTGGGAGGCGGAGCTTGCAGTAAGCCGAGATCACACCACTGCACTCCAGCATGGGCGACAGAGCTAGACTCTGTCTCAAAACAAACAAACAAACAAAAAACCAAAAAAAACCACCACCACCACCAACAAAAAATAACATTTCTTTATTTGGAGACAGGGTCTCACTCTGTTGCTCAGGCATGAGTGCCATGGTGTGATCATGGCTCACTGCAGTCTCAAGCTCCTGGGCTCAAGCGATTCTCCCACCTCAGCCTCCCGAGTAGCTGGGACCACAGGCGCATGCCACCACGGTTGGCTATTTTTTTTTTTTTGGCAGGGGAGGGATAAGGCCTGACTTATCCCTCCAGGCTGGAGTGCAGTGGTAGGGTCTTGGCTCACTGCAACCTCCGCCACCCGAGTTCAAGCGATTCTCATGCCTCAGCCTCTCAAGTAGCTGGGACTACAGGGGCACGCCACTATGCTCAGCTAATTTTTGTATTTTTAGCAGAGATGGGGTTGTTTTTTTGAGATGGAGTCTCGCTCTGTTACCCAGGCTGGAGTGCAGTGGCTCAACCTTGGCTCACTGCAAGCTCTGCCTCCCGGGTTCACATCATTCTCCTGCCTCAGCCTCCCGAGTATCTGGGACTACAGGCGCCTGCTACCACACCCGGCTAATTTTTTGTATTTTTAGTAGAGACAGGGTTTCACCATGTTAGCCAGGATGGTCTCGATCTCCTGAACTCATGATCTGCCTGCCTTGGCCTCCCAAAGTGCTGGAATTACAGGTGTGAGCCACTGCGCCCAGCCAGAGATGGGGTTTCATCATGTGGGCTAGGCTGGTCTCGAACTCCTGACTTAAGGTGATGCGCTTGCCTCAGCCTCCCAAAGTGCTGGAATTCCAGGCGTGAGCCAACACGCCTGGCGCCTATTTTTTTGCAAAGACTGGGTTTCATCATGTTGCCCAGGCTGGTCTCAAGCGATCCAAACACCTCAGTCTCCTAAAGTGCTGAAATTACAGGTTTGAGTCACTGTCTTCAGCTTAATAAAACATAACATTTATAATAGCATCAAAAACCAAATAATCAGGAACCAATCTGACTAAAGATGTATAAGAGCTATACAATGAAAACTACAAAACACTGCTGAGATGAATTAACAAAGACTCAACTCAGTGGAAATATGCTATATTAATGTACCAGAAGGATCAATATTGTTAAGATACCGATTCTCTTCAAATTAATCTATAGAATCTACACAATCCCAATCAAAATCCCAGCAGCCACTTGTGTAGAAAAAGACAGCTGATTCTAAAAATTTATATGAAAATATAAAGATTCTAGGGTTGAGGGCAGTGGGTTCACACCTGTAATCACGCCCTCCTTTGGGAGGCCGAGGTGGATAGATCACTTGAAGTCAAGGGTTCGAGACCAGGCCGGCCAACATGGCAAAACTCTGTCTCTACTAAAAATGCAAAAATTAACCAGGTGTGGTGGCACGCATCTGTAGTCCCAGCTGCTCGGGAGGCTGAGGCACAAGGATTGCCTGAACCTGTGAGGCGGAGGTTGCAGTGAGCCAAGATCACACCACTGCACTCCAGCCTCCAGTCTTGGTAACAGAGTGAGATTCTGTCTCAAAAAAAGGAAAAAGTATAAAGATGCTAGGGCTGGGGGTGATGGCTCACGCCTGTAATCCCAGCACTTTGGGAGGCCAAGGTGGGCAGATCATCTGAGGTCAGGAGTTTGAGACCTGCCTGCCCAACATGGTGAAACCCCCTCGCTACTGAAAATACAAAAATTAGCCAGGCTTGGTGGCAAGTACCTGTAATCCCAGCTAGTCATGAGGCTGAGGCAGGAGAATTGCTTGAACCCAGCAGGTGCAGGTTGCAGTGAGCCGAGATCGTGCCACTCACTCCAGCCTGGGCAACAGAGTGAGACTCTGTCTCACAAAAACAAAAACAAAAAGCAAAGCAAAACAAAACAAAGAAAACATAAAGATTCTAAGAGGGGTCAAAAACCACTTTGATAAAGAATAAAGTTGGGCACAGTGGTTCACACCTGTAATCCCAGCACTTTGGGAGGCTGAGTTGGGCGGATCACTTCAAACCTGGAGTTCAAGACCAGCCTGGGCAATATGGCAAAACCCCATCTCTAATAAAAATACAAAAATCAGCCAGGCGTGGTAGTGCACACCTGTAATCCCAGCTACTGGGGAGGTCGAGGCATGAGAATCACTTGAACCCAGGAGACAGGGGTGGCAGTGAGCTGAGACTGTGCCACTGCACTCCATCCTGGATGACAGAGTGAGACTCCGTCTAGGGAGAGAAAAAAAAAAGGAGTCTGGTGGCTCATGCCTGTAATTCCAGCCCTTTGGGAGGCCAAGGTGAGAGGACTGCTTGAGTCCAGGAGTTTAAGACCAACCCGAGCAACGTAGCAAGACCCTGTCTCTACCCCCTCAACAACAACAACAAAAATTAGCCAGGCATGGTGGCGAATGCCTGTGGTCCCAGTTACTCAGTAGGCTGAAGTGGAAGGATCGATTGAGGCTGCAGTGAGCCATGTTTGCACCAATACACTGATCCTGGGTGACAGAGCAAGACCCTGTCTCAAAAAAAAACAAAATACAAAAAACAAAAAACAATAAAGCTGGGGCTGGGCATGGTGGCTCATGCCTGTAATTCCAGCACTCTGGGAGGCTGAGGCGGGCAGAATACGAGGTCAGGAGATCGAGACCATCCTGGCTAACACGCTGAAACCCTGTCTCTATTAAAAATACAAAAAATTAGCCAGGTGTGGTGGTAGGCGCCTGTAGTCCCAGCTACTCGGGAAGGCTGAGGCAGGAGAATGGCATGAACCTGGGAGGTGGAGTTTGCAGTGAGCCCAGATTGCGCCACTGCACTCCAGTAGCCTGGGTGACAGAGCAAGACTTCGTCTCAAAAAAAAAAAAAAAAGAAAGAGTAAAGCTGAAGGAAGGACACAAGAAAAAGAAAAGATGTGGAACCTCAACAGTCATTAGGACAATACAAATCTAAACCACATTGAGTTACCACCACTGACCTATTTGAATAAAGTTAAAAAAGACTTCAAATTCCACTGGGAAAAATAAAAAGACTGACTATCCTTGTTGGCAAAGATGTGGGGCAACTGGAACTCTCAAGCCCTGCTCATGGGAATGCAAAATGGTACAATCATTGTGGGAAAAAAAGGTGGTAGTTTCTTAAAGTTAAATATTCATTTACCACACGACTCAGGCATTCTACTTCTAGGTATTACCCAAGAGAAAGAAAGGATGTCCACATAAAGAGTTATATACAAATGGCTCATATAAATTGTATCTGTAATAGTCAAAGCTAGAAACAAATAATTTTTGTATATCCATTCAATGGAACACTACTTAGCAACAAAAAGAAATGAACTATCGATGTACACAACAACTTGGATGAATCTCAAAATAGTTTTTTGAGTTTCAAAGCTAAACAATAAAGAATACATACTGTATGATTCAATTTATATAAAATACTAGAAAATACAAACTAATCTATAGTGACAAAAAGCAGACCAGTGGCTATCTGGGAATAGGGCGGGAGGGAGAGATTTCAAAGGGCCACAAGAAACTTTTGGGGGTGATGTGTGTGTTCATTATTTTGATTGTGGTAAGGATTTCACACATGTCCAAACTTACCAAACTGTACATTTTGACTACTGCAGCTTACTGATATCAATTACACTCAACACAGCTGTTAAAAAAAACCTCATTGGTCTATTTTGCACTTTGAGTGGTTCTTTTACATATATGATTTTGTAGCATTATGTACTTGGCCATTTAGAAAACATTGGTCCAATGAATTATGCAGATGTTCTAAGTGGTGACACACTTAAATGTACAATTTTTAAAAAAATCACATTCACTAGTAACATTATCAATCTCTATATAGGTCTTCATTGGCCCATCTAGCTGGGCACAGTGGCAGGCGCCTGTAATCTCAGCTACTTGGGAGGCCGAGGCAAGAGAATTGCTTGAACCTGGGC